GTCGTCTTTCACAGGTCGATGAGGTTCGCACTCATGTTCTCAACACATATTGAGATTTAAAATACAATGCATATTTCGTACTTTTGGCTGTGCACATAAACGTAAGCCACAAATCATGCACTAAAGCATCTCTTATACAAGTGATAAGTGTCCTTGAGTCGCTTGGTTTGCTTTTCCTTACCTAAACATTTAATTTCGTTGTTTACCTGCAGAAAATCTGACTAGCGTAGAACTAGACCTTTTGCCGACAGTATTAGTTCTAGCTCAATACCCAAGCAATGCTTTCAACTGTCCAATTTTACACGGCGATGTCATTGGTGGTGGCAATTGTCGCCCACTGCACTACTTTGCAACTCGTTCTGAACCGGTTCCGTTTGGACAGTTCTGGAGTAGTTCTATCTTGTGTAGTTTTAAGATAGTTCAAAAGTGGATAGTTTCAATCTAGTCGAAAAAAGACAATACTTATAATCCTACTAGTTACAAAACTAGTTCAAATACCCATTCCATTCAAAAACAGAATATAGATAAAAAAAATATTAATTTCCACAAAGTACACACTTTTATTGTTAACGTACATTAAATAAACACAATACATAAATATGAACGTGGCAATAATAATAGAAACGCCTTATATTTTAAGTATATTTTTTATATAAAGTAGATATCGATATACATGTGTATGTACGTATGTATGTATGTATAACATATTGAAGCAAATTATGATTTAACTTAGTCTTTCGTTCATTTCAATTCATATTTTTATACCCGAGCGCACTTGTGCACAAGGGTATATTAATTTTGTGCACATAACGGTTGTTTGTAACAGCCAAAACGAATCGAGATAGATATAGATAAATGTATACATAAATGATCAGGGTGAAAAAAGAAATCCATTAAGCCATGTCTGTCTGTCCGTCCGTCTGTCCGTCTGTCCGTCCGTCCGTGTACACGATAACTCGAGCAAAAATTGAGATATCTCAACGAAATTTGATATGTAGGTTTCCCTTAATCCAAGGTAGGTTGGTATTGAAAATGGGCGAAATCGGACTGTAACCACGCCCACTTCCCATATAACGGTAATTTCCAGAAATACGAAAACTGCGATATTTTAGTAACTACTGAAGATAATTCACTCAAAATTGATATTTACAATAACTTTTTGACGAAAAATAAGAATATTATAAATTTTTGGGAAATGGGCGTAGCCACGCCCACTTATGGTTACATGTGTATATCTTAGGATCCGCTGCACCAATTTTTTCCAAACTTGGCACAGTTGTTGACCTTCGCACAGCATACCAAATGGCCGAAAATTTTTAAAATCGGACAATAACCACGCCCACATCCCATATAACGATAATTTTCGGAAATACGAAAACTGCGATATTTTAGTAACTACTGAAGATTATTCACAAATTTAAAATTGATATTTACAACAATTTTTAGACGAAAAATAAGAATATTATAAATTTTTGGAAAATGGGCGTAGCCACGCCCACTTATGGTTACATGTGTATATCTTAGGAACCGCTGCACCAATTTCTTCCAAACTTGGCACAGTGATTGGCCTTGGTACAGTATACAAAATCGCCGAAAATTTTTAAAATTGGACGATAACCACGATTGGACGATCCCATATAACGGTAATTTAGAGAAATACAAAATCTTCGATAAATCAGTAAATATTAAAGATAATCTGTTCAAAATTGATGCTTGCAACTATTCTTTACCAAGAAATACGTTTATGGTAAAATTTTGGAAAAGGGCGGGGCACCGCCCACTTATGATCACATATATGTATATCGGTAACCGTTCTACCAATTTGTACCAAACTCGGTGTGGTTATTGTGCTTGCCACATATAAGCAAAATGTTGAAAATTATTGAAATCGGATTAAAATTACGGCCGCTTTTCATATAACGGCAAAATTTAAGAAATGCTTGAAACTGCAATATTTCGAAATTGAAGGACGCTAATTTACTCAAAATTGATACACCCCGGCCTACCATCTGCGGTAGGTTTCGGAAAGGTGAAAAAACATATATTAAATATTTGCGCCGGGTATTTAATGTTCGGCTCCGCCCGAACTTAGACTTTCTTACTTGTTCAAAGTAAATTCTTATTTATATGGTTTTTATAAAATTGATACATAAAACAGTTTTGTTTATAGTAGAGATCGAAATACATATGTATGTATGTATAACATATTGAAGCAAATTATGATTTAATTTAGCCTTTCGTTCATTTGCACTCATATTTTTTAAAGAAATTTCGTTTTTATATCGTTTTTATAAAATTGTTACATGAAACAGTTTTGTTTATAGTAGAGATCGAAATACATGTGTATGTATGTATAACATATTGAAGCAAATTATGATTTAATTTAGTCTTTCGTTCATTTCAATTCATGTTTTTTAAAGTAAATTCTTAGTTATATCTTTTTTATAAAATCGTTATACATATGAAATAGTTTTGGTTGCAGTAGAGATCACACTACTTATACTAAATATGTTGATTTAAGGCAAGCTCTGGTTGAATAAGAATAACATTCATTTTAAGTTATAATGTTATACATAATATTGAAGCAAATTATGATTTATTTAGTCTTTCGTTCATTTGCTCTCATATTTTTTAAAGAAAATTCATTTTTATATCGTTTTTATAAAATTGTTCCATGAAAGTTTTGTTTATAGTAGCGATCGAAATACATATGTATGTATGTATAACATATTGAAGCAAATTATGATTTAATTTTGTCTTTCGTTCATTTCAATTCATGTTTTTTAAAGTAAATTCTTAGTTATACCTTTTTTATAAAATCGTTATACATATGAAATAGTTTTGGTTGCAGTAGAGATCACACTACTTATACTAAATATGTTGATTTAAGGCAAGCTCTGGTTGAATAAGAATAACATACATTTTAAGTTATAGACGTTATGTACGTATAGAGTATTTTATTATTAAAACTGTTATTACTTACCCAGAAGAGCGGCATAGAATTTCTCGTATGTTTTGAGTCTTTTTTCCGTGTGTCCCGTCTAAATTATGGTTTAGAACAATTGAATCGTCTAATATGTTTTTTAAATTTCGTGTAGTACTTTGCTGAAGCAGTCTCTTAAAGGTGGAAACCTTTGAAAGAAATAAGCATAAAGCGTGAGCACAAATATAAGTTTCATGATATTTTTTTAAGATATATGCAAATAGATATGCAATAGGTACCCAAATCAAGTTAGTATATGACCGGAAAATAAGTATGATTTTGACACTTACAAAAATCTCGCGATTCTCCGGAAGTATCTTTTCCTCTATCGCCTTGAGGCTCTCTTTAGTTGTTAGCGGAAATAAGCCTGCAATTGGTGCCCCCACTGACGCCTGGCGAATCAACTTTTGTGCAATAATTTTCTGCTCCGCAAGAGCTGCCATAATGGCCTTATTATGTACAAGTTGAGTTTCTGAAACAAATGTGTATAAAGATAATTTATAATCTTGTGGCATATAAAGTGCTTCTTACGTTCCATTTGCTCCAATTTGTTGCAGACAAACGATTTTAATTTAGTGAGATCACACTAACATCAACAAGTTTGTCATCTATTGTAGTGCAGTTAGAGGTGGAACTTCTTGGATCACCGTCTGTAATAAAGATTTTGAAATGCACTATTTATTAATAACAAAAGTAATTACAAATGTGGCATGTACTTACACTGCGGTTGAGTATTTTCAGTCCCTCCATAATTTTAAATTTTTTAAACGACATTATGTTCTTTTTTTAAATATATAAGTTCGTTCATAAAAATATGTATCTATGTTTGTGCGTACATTTATGTGTATGTAGGAAAAAATGTGAATGTGGGATTTTTTTATTATTAAAAAATTATTACAAACATCCATGCAATATTGGAATCATGAGCAAGCGGCCTTTATAG